TGTATGATAAAGAATGATCTTATATCCTAGAAAATAGTTATATAAATGAAATTACACTTTTCAATGGAAATCTGTTGTGTTTCCTGCAGACAAGGTGGCTGTATCCCAACCACTCCTGAGTACACAGACGGTGGTGCAGTTTACAGTTGTGCATTTTGAGCAGATCTGGGATTCCCTGGCTCCAGCTCAGGTCTCAACACCATCGTTAAACCCTACCCTGGGGACCATGTTCACGTTGACAGATCTCTGGGCCTCTGGTTCCATGTCTGTACATAAGATGCTTGGACCAGAAGTTCTCATAAGTTTCCTGGTGGCTCTATGACCCTATTAGTTTTATAACTTGGCCCTGAAGAGAGTAACAACTCCCTGCTGTGTGAGATGCAGTAACAGGCAGGGAGCTGTCATCTCCTGTGACAACAATGCCATCTTTTGTAATACCTCCCGAAGGAAGTGCCTGAGGCTGTTTTACAGTTAACTTTAAAAAAATGAGTAGGAGGACACTCTAAAGCAACAATAAAAAGCATAGTAAAGACATAAACCAGTAACGTAGTCGAGTAGTCGCTTATTATCATTATCAATTACTGTGTACCAGGCTCAGTGCCCATAGCTCAGTGGTTAGGGTGCCAGCCACATACACCAAGGCTGGTGGGTTCAAACCTGGCCCGGGCTTCTTAAACAACAATGATAACTACAAGAAAATAGCCAGGCGTTGTGGTGGGTGCCTATGGTCCCAGCTACTTGGGAGGCTGAGGCAAGAGAATTGTTTAAGCCCAAGAGTTGGAGGTTATTGTGAGCTGTGATGCCACAACACTCTACCGAGGACAACATAGTGAGACTCTTGTCTCAAAAAAAATAAAATTACTACGTACATACATAATCGCAGGTGCTATATTTTTATGTGACTGGCAGCACAGTGGGTTTGTTTACGCCAGCATCACCACAATGAGTTATTCACCTTGCTATGCCATCACAACAGCCACGTCAATATGCCATGGGAATTCTTTAGTTCCATTATAATCTCATGAGACCATGTCATGCCTGTGGCTGGTCATTGACCTAAATGTCATGATGCAGTACAAATCATTTTCCCAAATCGCTGGACCAAGGTTTGTTTTTGTGGTTGATTGGTTAGTTGATTGATCCCTCTTTTGATTTAACAAGTAGAACATATGAAGTCTCTTCTCCAGTTCTATACATTTGAACTACTAGTTAGTCTGGGTAATCATTAACAATATCAACCAAAATGCTTTTTACGTGCCAGCCTCCTCAGTCTGGTCACCCAAATGGACTACATGTCCGGCTTCCCTCACCTTCTGTTCTCCTTCCTCAGCTTTAGTTTTCTCCCTAGCACCCAACACCAGCTGACATCCACATTCTCCAATTTCTGTCTCTTTGTGTCTTTTGAGTTTTCTGCTCTGATATGTTAAGTGCCTGAGAGCAAAGACCTCTGCTACATCTGCTGGGCCTCCTCTGAGGTTGTGCTGACGGGATGTGCCAGCCTCTTGCAAGCTAAGTTGATCTAGACTGTTAGGAGAGTGATTTGGCAATAGCATTCCAAGGCCAAGAAAAAAAAAAGGAATAGCCTGCAGCCTTTGGAAATCTGACTGGGAATCTCATCCTGGGAACGGGTCCTAAGGTAGGAATTCACTTGGCCTAGGCCAAGTGGGATTAAGTCATCCTGCCTTTCTTCTCCCTGTCCCAAGGGACAGGGAGGGACAGACAGGGAGTTGGCAGCAGTGCCGCTCCCTCCTATTTGGTCCCCTCCTCCCTACAACCTTGCAGCACCTCAGGAACAGATGTGATCATAGTTCACATTGATTGTGCAAGTACCACATGCCAAGGCCTGTTGTATGCTCCTATGAGCATCCAGTCCTTTTAGGAGCATTTTGAGTGAGCTGCTTCTCACAGATGGGGCAAGTAAGGGGAAAGGGAGCGGCTCGTTCAAGACAGTGAATGTGGTTCTGCCGACTGTTACAGATGGGGAAAGCCCAAGCTTCATATGGTAAATGGTGGAGTCAGGATTTGAACCCTGGTCCTCTGACCACACATGCATGCCCAGAATGCATTATGGGGCTCTACCTCTGCAGCACTATAGGACCTGCAGGGAGCAGGGGAGGCTCAAGCAGAGTGGTGCACCTGGACTGACAGACACTTACAGACGTAAGGTGTCAGTCAGCATTTTGTTTCATCTAGATTCTCGAACAAGGGTCTACTGCTTCCCTGAAGCAGTCTCCTGGGTCTTGATTTTGCTTCAGCCACAGTCTACCAATAAGCTATTCTGTGCATGCTTCAGATAGTCATTTTGTCTTGGGAGTGGTGGCATGGCAAGGTAGAGATCAACTTACTAGGCCTCCAGGGTGGGCCACTTCGTACCCACAGGAAGGGTCAGTCACCCTTTATCTCAGCTTTCTGGTGCTTCGACTATGGGAAACTCACTTCTCCCTTCTGAGCCAAGGCTTTCACATCTGTGACAGCAGGAGCCACGTTGCAACTACTCAAGAAATACGACTTTCATAAAGATAATTATTATGGTGTGATTTATATTAGCAAAACGCTGTAAACAACTTAGTGTCCAGTAATGGTGAAAAGACTCCACAGCATGATAGTTTTAGACCTTGGAATTGTCTGTAACTTTTAAAAATTACATTGAAAAATTAACACTGAATAATATAGTAAAAAAAAATCAGGATACAAAAATTGTATCTACAATTTGGTAGGAAAAATATCCTGAAGGAAATACTAAGTGCTTATTTATGAATATTCGGACAAACAGGATGACAGTTTCTTCATTACAGTTTTTCATACTTTCTCACTGTTCAAGAATTTTGCTTTTTTTTTTTTTTTTTTTTTTTGAGACGGAGCCTCAAGCTATCCCCCTGGGTAAAGTGCCATGGCATCACGCTCACAGCAACCTCCAACTCCTGGGTTCAAGCGAGTCTCCTGCCTCAGCCTCCCAAGTAGCTGGGACTACAGGCGCCCGCCACAACACCTGGCCATTTTTGGTTGCAGCCATCATTGTTGTTTGGCGGGCCCGGGCTGGGGATTCGAACCCGCCAAATTAGGTATATGTGGCTGGTACCTTAGCCGCTTGAGCCACAGGCGCCAAGCCAATTTTGCTTTTTTTCATAACCAAGCAAACCATTGTTTACAACGTTGGTTTCCTTTTATTGTATTGTTGACTAATACTTTGGCAGGAGACACCGGGACTAGAAGTGGGAAATGGGGAGAGGGGGGTGTTCAGTTTCCATAGCGTTTATTGAGCATCTGCTATGCCCAGACAGCTGAGTGAGGTCTCTCACTGGGCAGATAAGGCAAAGGAAGGGCAGGCATGTTCAAAGGTTCTGGGCATGAGAAAGTGGTGAGTGAGGCCCTTGGAGGGGAGGAGAGCATACAGGTGGGAGATGCCCCTGTGGGGCCATCAGGGGTGTCAAAGGGTTCAGATAACATTCTGAGGGCCCTGGAGCCACTGGTGAATTGTTTTTAAATTGAATTTTTCTCGGTGTAATAAATTCTAGACAATACTGTCACCTGTGTAGCTTCTTGTACCCACCACCACACTCAGGATACAGAATGGTTCCAACACTGTAAGGACTTCTTGGTCTTTTATAACCACTCCCACTCCCCCCCATATCCCTTGGGACACTGCCCACCACAACTAGTAACTGCTTCAGTGGGGAGAATGGGGGGAATGTGCTGAGAAGACCCTATTTCTGCCTGGGAGAGCTCACAGTGGTTTGGGGTGGGCTGTGAGTTGGGTGCTAAGTTTGGAGCTTCCTAGGGTCACTGCCGCCAGGGGAATGTCCAGAGGTCAGTGGACTTAAAAATCCACGGCTGACGCTTGGCGCCTGTGGCTCAAGCGGCTAAGGCGCCAGCCACATACACCTGAGCTGGCAGGTTCGAATCCAGCCCAGGCCCGCCAAGCAATGATGGCTGCAACCAAAAAACAGCAGGGCATTGTGGCAGAGTCCTAGCTACTTAGGAGATGGAGGCAGGAGAATCGCTTGAGCCCAGGAGTTGGAGGTTGCTGTGAGCTGTGATGCCATAGCTCTCTACCCAGGGCAACAGCGTGAGGCTCTGGCTCAAAAAAAAAAAATCTGTGGCTGAGAAGTTTGAGCTGAAGGTGAGATTTGGGGGCTTCTATCACTGCTGCTGGGGAGGGTTGGCTAGGGAGTGGGATGGGGTACAAGGAAAGGACAGAGGAAGGCGCTGCAGGAGGATCACAGGACAGCGTCTGCCCAAGAGAAATTTACAGACGGCTTCTGCACAGAGCACCAACCTGATGACTTTTTAAGCTGGCTGTCTCCTCTCGCCTGCGACCCCTTGTGTTTAAACAGCCCCGGGAATTTGTGCAGAGGGCGCGCGCACGCGCACGCACACACACACACACACCACTCCTCAGAGTCAGACATGGAAGGGCTTTGGGCACAATGCCTATGCCTTTAGCTGTGCAAGGACAGGATTCAAGGCTTGTTAATCCCAGAGGCACCTAGAGGTCGTGGAATCCAAACCATTTAATTTACAAAGGAGATAACTAATCCTCAAGGATTTGGCCAAGGCAGAAGGCGGGGTGGGGGTGGTGGGGGTGTCTTTTTTTGTTTGTTTTCATGTTCAAGATCTGTTTTCTCCCCACAGGAGAAGGGGGGTGAAACCCCAGCGATATGGATGCACGTTTCAGAACTCTTTCGTGCGTCAGTTTTTATTGAGCGTCTACTATGCGCCAAGCAGGGCTAGGGTTTTCAGGACTTGGATATGGACTTGGCGCAGGCCCTAGGGCTGGTGGCTAAGGGCACCGAAGGGTTAAATTCTAGGAGCCCTGCGGGGAGGGGGTAGAGGAGTCTCCCGGAAGCAAAGTCCCCTCCCCGGCTTCCCCGCTCCCCGCGCCCAAGTTTCCGGAGCCCGGGAAGCCCTGCCCCGCCGCCTCCTCCGCGGACCCCCCTCTGCCCCGCGAGGGAGTGGCCGCTCTCCAATTACAACAAAAGGGGCCAGAGGCCTGGCCTGCTGCAGCAGCTGCCTTCAGAGAAGGGGGTGGGTCTGGGGAGGAGTTTGCCGTCCAACTCCCGTTAAAAGTAAGGGGGAAAGAGTAAACTGGTGACTCCAGCGCGCGGCTTCCCAAATTTGGGGCTCACTTTCTGGAACGATCGGAGAACTCAGCTGCCCCTTCTCCGGAGCGGGGCTGAGTGGTACAAGTGTGAAGGGCGGCCACGGTGGAGAGCCTGGTCCCAACCCAGACACTGCGGACCCCTGGTGCCAAGTAAGAGCGCTTCCCCGCACTTCCCCTCCCCGCCACGGTTCGCGGGAAAGCTGTAGCATGCCGATGGGAACCGCAGGCTTTGCCTCGGTGGGGCAGCCTGTCGGCCTTGCTGGAGGTCCCGAAGACTTCTCCCTGGAAACTATGCGGGGACGTGCGGGCTGACGGGTCCCCCTGCAGCTGTGGGCGGCCCCGCCCAGCCCCATCTCGTCTGGGCGGATCGTGGCGCTGCAGCTGGCGCGCCCAGGGAGCAGTGCGTTAGGTCCCTTGATTCCTTGCTCTCCCGGAGCGCCGGTGGCCAGGTGGGACAGAGCCAGTCGAGCTTCCGTGCGTGCTAGGTGTCTTGGAGAGTGCAGCGCTGCATCGAGGACGTGCGGGGTGTCTGGGGATCTGGCTTCTGGGGAGTGGGGCGCGCAGGAGCTGTGACTTGGCTATGTGGAGCGCACGGGGCTGAGTACCACTTGGGCTGAGCCCAGACCTCCAGCGCCCAATACCTGAAATTGGGTCCTCTTCCCACCCTGCCAGAATGGCTCGGGGGAGCGCGGGAGCGCCTTGAGCCCTGCTGGAGGAGAGGTGCGGCGGCCCCACGCTCAAGTCGCCGTGGCTCTCTGGGGAGCGGGAACCGGGAGCCCACGGTTATCAACGAGAAATCCCGGAGTAGGAAAGAAATGGTAGAGCTGATCCCAGTCTCGTACGCTTAGTCCCGCGGATCTCGATGCCTACAGGTTTTATGCAGGCGCTTTGCTCCCGGCGCTCCCCATTCTCCCCAGCCAATATCTGGGAGCCCTCCGAGTGTAGCTGCCTGCCTGAGGTGTAGGTATGGTTGTGATGGACGCCGGTATAGACATGATCAGAAGGAACAAGGGAAGTCTCCCACCTCCTGGGGCAAAGATTACCAAAACCCAGAGGGGTTCAGGCGATGCAGCAAAATATGGCTGGGGGAGGGGGGGCGCTGAGCTAATCCACATGATTAGAAAATCCCATGTCCTGATGAGAGAAGAGATAGGCATGACAGTCAGAAACATGCCCCACGCTAGTTTCAGCCCCTAAAATCTTGGCAGTGTGAAGATCTTAAAAAAAAAAGAAAAAAAATCCTAAACCGGTGCAGTCATTTCTCTTTTCGGAAGAGGAGACAGGCTGAACTCAAGGCCACTGGGTTAGTCAGTTTGAGGACTGAAACCCATACGCCTGAATCCTGGGCCCTCCCTTGCACCACCACTAGCCTATCTGCCCTGGTAACCCAAAAGCCTATTTGTCATCTTGGGTGGAATTAGTTATTTATTGTCAGGTACTTACAGGTAGGGATGGGGCTTAGCAAGGAAGAGGGAAGAGTTAATTTTCCTGGTCACTTTTGTCCTATTCCTCTTCCTGGTCTTTAGTACCATCTGTAGATGACCATCAGACCCCCTCCCTGGGCCCCTGGTGGATTTCAGGGGCCCCTTACCAGGCCTCTGTGTATGGGAGGAGGTGTGTGTCTGTTTTTATGTGACTTTGTGTTAAAAAGCAACTTGGTCTAAGGTTACTTGGCCATTGAGTGGCAACACTGAGTGTGAAATTCAAGTCTGAAGACAAAACTTGCAGTTAACATTACTCATGGGCTGACACTTGGCATCACAGGCGGGGGATTCTGCCAAGATGCTTCTGATTACCTCATTTTCAGCGGGGCTCCTTGGCTCCCTCTCCTGACCTTTTCCCACGTCCTTGTCCTCTGACCTCTGTGGCAGTGTGGAAGGGCCTTGTGCAGGAAGAAGATTTTCTGTATTCTGAACATGCCTCAGCAAAGCTAATGTCCCAAAAAATTCTGCATTGTTTATTTAAACTTTTTTATTGTGAAAAAGTCCCAATATGCACAAAAGTAGAGAGAAGGATATATTGAAGCCTCAGATACTTCTCTTGAGCTTTGACCCTTATCAGCATCTTGCCACACATACTTCACCTTTTCCTTTCTCCTTTTTTTCATTTATTTTAAAGCAAATCCCAGACAGCATGTCATCTTTTCCTTACATATTTCAGTGTGATCTCTAAAGATATTAAATAACTATGATGCCATTATTACACCTAAGAAAACTAACAAATGCTTTTCTTTTTTTTTTGGTAGTTTTTGGCCGGGGCTAGGTTTGAACCCGCTACCTCTGGCGTAGGGGGCCGTTGCCCTACTCCTTTGAACCATAGGCGCCACCTACTAACAAACTCTTTAGTATCATCTAATACCCAGTCTATATTAAAACATTTTCCAGTTTTCCTTGGAATGTTTTTTTTAATAGTTGATCTGAGTTTTGTTGATTTGTATAACTTGTTATATTCCTGTTGTGTGTTTTTCCTTTGAAACCACTTTTCCATCCACCATGTCATTTGATGCTTACAAAGTCCCACGAAACAGTGGGGTGGGTATCGTAGAATTCATTTTCTGGCCGAGGAAATTGGCAAACAGATGAGCTGGGCAGATAGCACAGCTGGTAATGGGTGGAGTAGAGTCTAACCCAGGCTCCTCATGGCTGGGCCTGTGGTCAGGCTCCCCCCATGCTGCTTGTGGAGTAAAATACCAGCTGCTTTCTGAGAAGGTCATCATGGCTCAGGCTTCATCCTGACCAGGGGTGATTACATCAGATTCAGTCATTGGCCCTTTCGTGCTTTACTGAGATAAATGAAGCCCAAAGTCAGGAAGTCTGGGTTTGTTTCCAACTTATTGTAAAACTATAAGAAATCAACTCACTACCCCTGGAGGGCTCTCTGGTTTCTAGATCTAAAAATAGAATGAGTAAAGTGAATGTAGCAGAATTCCTGGAAGAAACGGTGCCCAAAGGGAGATCTGGTAGAGAAGAATCACCCATCTTTGAGTATCCCCTGAGAATTTTGGCAGCTGGCACCTTCATGCTGAAGCTCCAAAATCCTGTAACAGAGAAGAAGGTCAGAGGTATACAGGCTTCCTGCTGAAGTCCTGAGTTTATGGACACGTCCTTTGTTCTGCCTTTATCTAATGAAGATACACAACAGCAAAGCTTTTTGCTAGTAGCATTTTCATTACTTATGTCTATTTGATTTTGAAATGGAGAGAAGAAATTTTTACACCTTTTTAATGAGGCTCATGAGTTGGGATTCTTTTCCCCAGGTAGGTCCTAAAAGGAATGGGAAGAAGGAACCCTCTAGTTTAACTGCTGGACTCTTCAATTTTCTCTATCGTGTGCGTTGCTCCGACATAGATAGGGAATAAACAGACCTTCCATAAAATAGCTGGTATAGGTGGCAGAGAAACTAGTCGATCCAATCCCATTATTCAACTGGACAGACTCAAAGGGGGCAAAACATTAACCTTAAGTTGCACAGTCTTCTGGCAGCCATAAATTCTGCTTCTTTAGCTAACAGGCTGTCTCTTGCAGGTAGCATTTCTCGGCGTACCACATCAGCAGCTACAGTTTACTTACAAACTGGGGAGACTTAGGAGCTATCTTAGTCCATTTTCTGTTACTTGTAATAGAATACCTGAAACTGGGCAATTTACAAAGAAAAGCAAGTTTTTTTAAGACAGAGTCTCACTTTGTTGCCCTGGGTAGAGGGCCCTGGCATCATAGCTCACAGCAGCCTCAAACTCTTGGGCTCAAGAGATCCTCTTGCCTCAGCCTCTTGAGTATCTGGGACTACAGGCACTTGCCACAACGCCCAGCTAGTTTTTTTAGAGATGAAGTCTTGCTCTTGCTCAGTCTGGTCTCAAGCTTCTGACCGACCTCGAGCAATTTACCTGCTTTGGCCTCCCAGAGTGCTAGGATTACAGGCATGAGCCACTGCGCCCAGCTAAAGCAATTTATTTCTTAATATATATGAAGGCTGAGAAGTCCAAAGTCGAGAGGCTACATCTGGTGAAAACCTTCTTTTAGTGGGGACTCTCTGCAGAGGCCCCAGGTGGCACAGGCATCAGCTGGCAAGAGGGCTGGTTGCACCAGCTCAGGTCCTTCCTCTTCTTATAAAGGAGCCAGTTCCCTTCCCAAGAATGGATTAATTCATTTATGAGGGCAGAGACCCCCACCTCTCAAATTCCAACTTGAGTTTTGGAGGGGACAAATACTCCAGCCATAGCAGGTGCTGTCTATCATTCTCCACTCCCAGGGGCTGCCGGGCTTTAGAAGAGCAGCTTGTAATTACCATTGCTCATTGCCCTCTGGAGAAAGGCCTTCATGGTCAGTATGCTTGGCAGTCACACCCTGGGTGGGCCATGAGGATCAGATGAAGTGGCCAGAGCCTGCCCTGCTCCAGGCCCATAGAACCATCAAAACTAGCAGTGTGGGTTAGAAAGGGAAGAGCCCAGCAGCTTGCCACGGAGATGCAGCAGCAGTGGCCGCAGAACACAGCTGGATCTTCAGCCATGTCCAGGTGGAAGCAAGTCTTCAGGAACTTCTCATCCGAGTAAGTTCCTTGATGCACGCCTGCTGTGGACTATAGCACATGCTCAGCAGGGGCTACAACCTGGCCACACATGTAGGGTGCTCTTTTCCCAGGACCTGAGTCAGAGAAGCTTCTAGGCAGCAGGACCACTTTTGCAAAATAGCTACTTGTTTGAGGATGATAGCATATCACAGGGCCAGTTTAGATTAGATTTCCAGCCCAAGTTTTAAAAAATCTTTTGCACTTTCCTTGGCAGAAACAGTACTACCAGGCAAGTGGTATATGTGGGGAATGGGGATGTTCAAGCAAGAACTCAGCAGGTAGTGAGGATGTGATGAGGGTTGTAGTAAGTTCTTGGTGAGGACTTTTTTTATCCCTTCACTTGAGATGCTTTTAGTATTAAATTTAATTATATGCAAATGGAAATTTTTTTTTTCTTTCTCTTCTTTTTTGTACAGACAGGGGTCTCACTATGTTGCCCAAGCTGGTCTCCAACTTCTGGCCTCAAGTGATCTGCCTACCTTGGCCTCTTGAAGTGCTGGGATTGCAAACATGAGCCACTGCACCCAGCCAATGTTTTCTCTTTAGGGTTTTTTTTTTGTCTTTTTTTGAGACAGAGTACCACT